TGACAGTATTCAGATATTTATAAACCTGGGAGCAGAGACTTTTGGCTGAAAATAAAAATGGCATGAACTTTAAACTTGGTGATGTATTAGCTTTGTAGTTTGCTCCCTGAGTAACATTTTTATATTTGCATGTCTGTTTTAACAACCTATGTTTATTTGACACAAAGCACAGAAAGAAAACCTGCAGATATTTTCTAAAAATATATTTTGAATTTTGAAAAATAAAAGTTTTTAGCTTAATCTCACCTTGTATAAATTTTTTTATCCTAGAATGTACTTGATATGGCAATAGTGATTTCCACCCCTGCCCCACAAACTCTTCTAGAGTCCACCGTCAGTCAAATAGGAGAATTCATTTTGGCTATTTAATATCAGAAGGATGCCTTTGTTTTATCTAATGCCCATTGAAAAGTGTCCTCATAACGTTGTTTAAACAGACTGGGACTTTTTTTTTTTTTGAGATGGAGTCTTGTTCTGTGGCCCAGGCTAGAGTACAGTGGCGCAATCTCGGCTCACTGCAACGCCTGCCTGCCCGTTTCAAACGATTCTCCTGCCTCAGCCACCTAAGTAGCTGGAATTACAGGCGTGCGCCACCAGCCTAGCCAATTTTTGTATTTTTAGTAGAGACAGGGTTTTACCATGTTGGCCAGGCTGATCTCAAACTCCCGAACTCAAGTGATCCACCCACCTTGGCCTCCCAAAGTGCTGTGATTACAGGCGTGAGCCCCACGCCCGGCCAGATTGGGACATTTCTGAAGGAATCTCTGGTTTATGGGATAAAGAGACCTGCTCCTATTGTTTTATTTCAGTGTGTTTGTCCAAGCAAACACCTGTATGAATTTACCCTGTGTTAGTATCGCTGCTACCGTTCATTTCAAGCATGTGTTACTTAAGATGGCCTTCGTTAGCCGGGCACGGTGGCTCACGCCTGTAATCCCAGCACTGTGGGACACCAAGGTCAGGAGATCACAAGGTCAGGAGGTCAACCCCTTCTAGCCTCACAAGCCCATTCTATTCTATCCTCATTTCATAACCTCTTCCTTGTAGGTTACAAGTCTCCTTGTAGGTTACAAGTCGCTAGCCCGACTCTTAGAACCTCTCATTTCCTTTCCATTGTGGAAATCTATCCTTAAGGAAATCACTTCTCAGTGTTCCATCTGCTATTCTACTACTCCTCAGCGATTGTTCAGGCCCCCTTCTTTCCTTACACATCAAACTCAGGGATTTGTCCCTGCCCAGGATTGGCAAATTGACTTTACTCATATGCCTCGAGTCAGGAAACTAAAGTACCTCTTGGTCTGGATAGACACTTTCACTGGATGGGTGGAGGCCTTTCCCAGAGGCTCTGAGAAGGCCACCGCGGTCTTTTCTTCCCTTTTGTCTGGCATAATTCCTCGGTTTGACCTTTCAACCTCTATACAGTCTGATAATGGACCGGCCTTTATTAGTCAAATCACCCAAGAAGTTTCTCAGGCTCTTGGTATTCAATGTAGCCTTCATACCCCTTACCGTCCTCAATCTTCAGGAAAGGTAGAATGGACTAATGGTCTTTTAAAAACACTCCTCACCAAGCTCAGCCTCCAACTTAAAAAGGAGGACCCTGTCAAGGATAGAGCCCAAAAACTTGCCAACCAAGCAAGTCATTACGCTGAACCCTCTTGGGCACTCTCTAATTGGATGTCCTGGGTCCTCCCAAATCTTAGTCCTTTAATATCTGTTTTTCTCCTTGTCTTATTCGGACCTTGTGCCTTACGTTTAGTTTCTCAATTCATCCGAAACTGTGTCCAGGCCATCACCAACCATTCTATAGGACAAATGCTCCTTCTAACAACCCCATAGTATCACCCCTTACCACAAAATCTTTCTTCAGTTGAATCTCTCCCACTGTAGGTTCCCACGCCACTCCTAATCCTGCTCGAAGCAGCCCTGAGAAACAGTGCCCATTATCTCTCCATACCACCCCCAAAATTTTTCGCCGCTCCAAAACTTCACCATTTTGTTTTGCTTTTCTTATTAATATAAGAAGACAGGACTATCAGGCCTCTGAGCCCAAGCTAAGCCATCATATCCCCTGTGACATCCAGATGGCCTGAAGCAACTGAAGATCCACAAAAGAAGTGAAAGTAGCCTTAACTGATGACATTCCACCGTTGTGATTTGTTTCTGCCCCACCCTAACTGATCAAGGTAGTTTGTAATCTCCCCTACCCCTAAGAAGGTTCTTTGTAATTCTCCCCACCCTTGAGAATGTACTTTGTGAGATCCACCTCCTGCCCGCAGAACATTGCTCCTAACTCCATGGCCTATCCCAAAACCTATAAGAACTAATGATAATCCTACCACCCTTTGCTGACTCTTTGGACTCAGCCCTCCTGCACCCAGGTGAAATAAACAGCCATGTTGCTGTCTCACACACACACACACACACACACAAAATAAGGTGAGGAGATCAAGACCATCCTAGCTAACATGGTGAAACCCCTTCTCTACTAAAAATAAAAAAAGTTAGTTGAGTGTGGCAGTGCACGCCTGTAGTCCCAGCTACTTGGGAGGCTGAGGCGGGAGGCTGAGGCGGGAGAATTGCATGAACCCAGGAGGTGGAGGCTGCAGTGAGCTGAGATCATGCCACTGCACTCCAGTCTGGGCGACAGAGCAAGACTCCATCTCAAAAAAAAAAAAAAAAAAGACGGCCTTTCTTGCTAGTCACTAGACAAAACTGAGAAAATTTAATCACTTTCTTCTGCTTATGTTGCTTAGTTATTTATACCTGTTTATAGGTGACATGATGAAAGTATTGTGTTTGGGCTCAACTTCCCCTGGCTTCCCAAATTACGGTCCAATGTCATTTTACTTTTTTAAAAAACTTTTTTTTTCCTACACTGGGAAGTACCTTTCCAGAATACAGAATACTGTTTCTTAAGATTATCTGTGATGTAGCTCCAGATCTGTAATTTGAGTTTCAAATATAAAGATGAACGAACTGTTTCTCCAGAAGAAGATAATGAGGATTAGTCCTTCCTTATATTCAAACTTTTATGCTAATTTTAGTAAATGTGTAAATTATAAAATGGAGAAATGTATAGACTTCTTTCTCATTGAATTATATGTTCCTGGTCTTGTAATGGCACACACATATCAAGTAAAATGAGTAAGAAAGTAGAATTTTAGAAATAATTTATGACAACTTTTACATAAAAACTGCTAAATACATTTTGTTGCCAGACATTTTAATCCATATATCTTGAGTATTAAACTCTTTTTGAGTCTCTGTCATAATAGTTAAGATCCCAGAGAATAGAAATATATATTTTTAGGATGGAATCTTTTCATTGTCACTTAACAGTTTGACCTCAGGCAAGTTTGTAATTGCTTTGCCTCCTTGTCTAAGTGATACACTTAATAGAGCAATCTCATAGTGGGGGTATTGAGGATTAAATGAGCCTGTATCTGACAGCTACTGAGCACTCAGTAAATGTTAGCTGTAATTCTATGGAGAACTGAATCAGTTGTGTTTTAAACTAATTCTAAAAATTTGAATTTTGTAATTCTTAATATTATAATACTGACTTTCCTTCCAGCCTTGGGAACAATTGTAAAATACTCCTTTGTATCTGTGTAAGGATTATGGCCAATAAATATAAGGAAATCACATTGTAAAACTGAACGTCATAGCCTGAAGGAATCAGGTGACCAAAGCCAGTGATTTTCAAATGCCATTTAGATCTGACTATAGTATAATCTTCCGAATATATGCAGTATATAATTTTTAATGGCATCCCATATCTCACTCTTCAAGATTATTGTCCAGTGCCTCTGAGGTAAGAGGTCAGGAATCTGTTTTTAAATGATACGGTTTTTGTAAATGGTCTATACCATGTTTTTCAAGAGGGTGTTACTTAAGATGGCCTCTATTGCTGGCCTTACTTTACAGGCACATCTTAAGCAGCTCATTTATATCATCCTGTACACTGCCAAAGTAGAAAGTTTGTTCGCTTTCTAATTTGAAGGTAGACTGTGCCACTCTCTTACTTAGGACATCAGTAGTGTTCCCATTGTCTAAGAGGTTCAAGTCTAAGCTCTTTAGCTAAGTGTGCAAGGTCCTCTGTTTCCTCAGACTTCCCCCTTTTTCTAGTTCCTTAACTGTATTGACCTATGCCTCTTAATGTGTTTTATTTATATTCCCCTGCTACATTGAGCACTCCTTCAGGGCAGGTATTTTATCTTATTCATTTGCATTCCTGTTTCCTGGTGTAGAGGAGATAATGATTATTTACTGAAGGGAATTGCTTTTTGGGTTTGTTTATGACAGGATCTCACTCTGTTACCTAATCTGTAGTGTGGTGCAAACGTGGCTCACTGCAGCCTCAGCCTCCCGTTACTGGGACTACAGGTGCATGCTGCCACGCCCAGCTAATGTTTAAATTTTTTGCAGAGATAGGATCTTGTTATATTGCCAAGGCTGGTTTCAAACTCCTGTCCTCAAGCAATGCCCCCCACCTCAGCCTCCCAAAGTATTGGGATTTCAGGTGTAAGCACCATACCTGGCAGGAATTGCTTTTTCAGGAGATGCTTTTCTCCTGGGTTACTTGAAGTGATTATAGGCCAGTTTTACTGTATTAAAATGTTTATAGAAACAAAGATTTTCATGGCCTTAGTGATGACCTATTTATTGGGGGGGAAAAAAATGATCTGAATTTTTTCTCATCCCTGGAGCACATGGTAAGTATATAGTAAATGAAAAGGAGTGCCTACCAGGCCAGGAATGAAAAGATCCTGGGTCAACTCTAAGCACCCTATACGTTTTTAGAAAATATATTAATAAAACTTTGAAGGGAAAAAGGTGAGTTCCACATGGAACATGTGTCTTACCCAATACGTATTATTGCCTGAATGCATGACTCAGAGTAAATGAAGTTTGTGACTAATTAACTAGTTTCTAATTTGTGTTTCTAAAATGGATATATATATATAAAAAAAAATTTTTTTTTCTTCCTCCCATAGCTTTCCCATGGTTTGGCATGGACATTGGGGGAACTCTAGTAAAGCTCTCATACTTTGAACCTATTGATATCACAGCAGAGGAAGAACAAGAAGAAGTTGAGAGTTTAAAAAGTATTCGGAAATATTTGACTTCTAATGTAGCATATGGATCCACCGGCATTCGGGATGTACACCTTGAACTGAAGGATTTAACACTTTTTGGCCGAAGAGGGAACTTGCACTTTATCAGGTTTCCAACCCAGGACCTGCCTACTTTTATCCAAATGGGAAGAGATAAAAACTTCTCAACATTGCAGACGGTGCTATGTGCTACAGGAGGTGGTGCTTACAAGTTTGAAAAAGATTTTCGCACAGTAGGTATCTTTTACTCAAAACTGAAAATTGGTACGTGTTCGTTTTTAAATATGAGAGTAGGTTTCCATCTGGCATGTTCTTTAATTCTCCCTGCACATGCAGTGGGAAATATGTATCCGTGATTGCCTTTCACTTAGGGCGTTTTAAACACTTATTTGGAGTAGCTAAAAATTGCCCAGATTTAGCCATGTTGTTGCACATAATATTTGGTAAAACTTGTTTAGGGCTGTACTACAAAGCTATAATAAAAAGGGAATTTGGGGACTTTAATGAATTTGGCAGTGTACAAAGCCAGATATAAATGAAACTTGAATTATTTTCACTATTGTCCTACATTTACATGGTTTTTGGAATATTGCTTATTCAAATAATATTAATCTTCCAGGGCCATCTCCTTCCCAAACCCTAAGTTTGGAAACCAGTGTCTTTTGGTTAGTATAATAGACACCTGAATGAAAATCTGTTACCCTTTTTTTCCTGTTTTTACACTGTCAATCCTGCCATGTTCCTGTGTCAGATGGGGTGATTTGAATGGATATGGCAGGAGAACTATGAGTATTGGTTTGAGTTATGTGCTGTTAGCAGTTTGCCATCTTCTAGTCTTTTCCATTAGAATGACAGTTCAAAGAGTGGTTTGCCAGGCTTCTAGTCTTTTCTATTAGAATAAAGAGTGGCTCTATTTAGGAATACCACTGAAATTTGTTTTTCTTGAAAATGTAAATGTGAATAATTTCTCAAAATCGTAAGAAAATGCTGTTAATGGAATATAAAGGCTGATGTGGAAGGATCACTTGAGGCTAGGAGTTTGAGACCAGCCTGGGCAACATAGCGGGACCCTGTCTCTTCAAAAAATAAAAAAAATTAGCTTGGACCGGGCACGGTGGCTCATGCCTGTAATCCCAGCACTTTGGGAGGGCGAGGAGGGCGGATCATGGGGTCAGGAGATGGAGGCCATCCTGGCTAACACGGTGAAACCCCGTCTCTACTAAAAATACAAAAAATTAGCCAGGTGTGGTGGTGCACACCTGTAGTCCCAGCTACTCGGGAGGCTGAGGCAGGAGAATGGCATGAACTCGGGAGGCAGAGCTTGCAGTGAACTAAGATCATGCCACTGCACTCCAGCCTGGGCGACAGAGCGAGACTCCATCTAAAAAAAAAAAAAAAAAATTAGCTTGGCATAGTGGCCTGTGCTTGTAGTCCCAGCCACTCAAGAGACTGAAGTGGGAGGATTATTTGAGCTCTTGAGATTGAGGCTGCAGTGAGCTGTGATTGAGCCATTGCACTCCAGCCTGGGTGACAATGAGACCCTGTCTCAAAAGGAATATAAATAACTTAAATGGCTCATAGAAGCGAGACCCTTATAATTTGAGGTAACGATTTATAGTACTGTATGAAAAGAGGTGCCTTGGGAACACAGAGGAGTAACAACAGCTAGAGAGATGAAGAGGTTCCCAGAGGAACTGATATCTAAGCTGCAATGTTTTATAACAAATGTCTTTTTTTTTTTTTTTTTTTTTTTTTTTTTTTTTTTTTTTTGGGGAGACGCAGTCTCGCTCTGTCACCCAGGCTGGAGTGCAGTGGCCAAATCTCAGCTCACTGCAAGCTCCGCCTCCCGGGTTTATGCCATTCTCCTGCCTCAGCCTCCCGAGTAGCTGGGACTACAGGCGCCCACCACCACGCCCGGCTAGTTTTTTTTTTGTATTTTTTAGTAGAGACGGGGTTTCACCGTGTTAGCCAGGATGGTCTCGATCTCCTGACCTCGTGATCCGCCCGTCTCGGCCTCCCAAAGTGCTGGGATTACAGGCTTGAGCCACCGCGCCCGGCCAACAAATGTCTTATAATACACTTTTTACTAACCTGAAATGATGAATTTAATAATTTCAAACTAGTACTCAAACTATAATATAAAGACAGGAGATTAAGGTATCAGTGATTAATCAGAAATTAACCTGTCAGTGGGTAGATTAACAAACAGTGTGATCATTCCAGAGGACATCATGAAGTAGTTATATGCTTGAACCTATGCATAGATTGATCATGAATACCAAAGCTACACATGCCAGATTGGTATGGTATGTTCTATTGGAAAATCAGATACCATAAATGGCATTGCTGTTGTTGACATGACCCTCCAACATGCTAAACAAACACTTGGTAAAATTCCAAACAGTAAGAAGTACAGTATTCCCTTGCTTTATATGGTGGTTCATTTCCTAGCAAATATAGTATATATTTAACACTATGTGGGTTGGGTGCAGTGGCTCACGCCTGTAATCCCAGCACTTTGGGAAACCAAGGTGGGCAGATCACCTGAGATCAGGAGCTGGAGACCAGCCTGGTCAATATGGTGAAACCTCATTTCTACTAAAAATGCAAAAATTAGCCAGGCATGGTGGCAGGCACCTGTAATCCCAGCTACTCGAGAGGCTGAGGTGGAGAATCGCTTGGACCCGCGAGGTGGAGGTTGCAGTGAGCCGAGATCATGCCACTGTACTCCAGCCTGAGTGACTGAGCTAGACTCCATCTCAAAAATAAATATGAAGGGGTGGCCTGCCCCTCCACACCTGTGGGTGTTTCTCGTTAGGTGGAACGAGAGACTTGAGAAAAGAAATAAGACACAGAGACAAAGTATAGAGAAAAGCGGGGGCCCAGGGGACCGGCGCTCAGCTTACAGAGGACTCCCGCCGGCACCGGTCTCTGAGTTCCCTTAGTATTTATAGATAATTATCTTTACCATCTTAAAGATAAGGGAGTGGCAGGACAATAGGATCGTTTTTAGGGAGGAAATCAGCAGTAAGACATAAGAACAAGGATCTCTGTGACATGAGTAAGTTTAAAGGAAAATCCTGTGCCTAGAGATAAACCTTTTAGCAGCATTGTTTCATCCTATCACATGGGGATAAACCTTGGACAATACCTAGCTTTTCTAGGAACAAAGACACACTCTGCACGCCCAAAATCCATTAAACCTTGAGTTACCACAGCACATGTCTCTTGCAAGGACAAGGTTGGGGGTAGGGTCACAGATTAACAGCATCTCAAATACAGAACAAAATGGAGTCTCTTATGTCTACTTCTTTCTATATAGACACAGTAACAGGCTGATCTCTTTCTTTTCCCCACATAAATAAATAAATAAATAAATAAATCCATGGGACAAATACTTTTGTATTTATATACAGTGACAGGTAAAATAACTTTGTTCTTCTCTAGCCTCAGATAATTATAAATAATTTTCCTACTGCCACTATAAAAACGACTGGCAGAACACTCAAAGATAATGCATAGATGGGATAATTCTTTGGTTTGCAGAAATGTCCCACCTATTAAAGATGTCTAACATCACAAGTCCCTGCCCACTAAATGTCAGTTTGGTTCTTCCTTCCTCCCCATCATTTAGAAAGCTAGCAGTGAGGTGATACCGCCCTCACTGAGGACCAGTGGACTAGGTGAAATCCCTAAAGAGATTTTGACATGAAACAAAATGAAAATGTGGGGCCATAGATTATTTTTAATTTTTGTAAAGTAATACAGGAAAATCATTTAGTTGAGTGGAGTGTTTTTGAACGTCATCCTTTTTTGTTTTGTTGTTTTTTTTAACAGATTGGAAACCTCCACCTGCACAAACTGGATGAACTTGACTGCCTTGTAAAGGGCTTGCTGTATATAGACTCTGTCAGTTTCAATGGACAAGCCGAGTGCTATTATTTTGCTAATGCCTCAGAACCTGAGCGATGCCAAAAGATGCCTTTTAACCTGGATGATCCCTATCCACTGCTTGTAGTGAACATTGGCTCAGGAGTCAGTATTTTAGCAGTCCATTCCAAAGACAACTATAAACGAGTGACTGGGACAAGGTAGTGACCTTTTTGGTTGTATTGCTGCGTTCACATTGTTTTATACACAGAAGTTATGAAATCAGTATAATAATGCCATTTTCACCAGTAAAAGAGCATGTTTTTGCACAACAGCAAACATGTATTTTTGTGTGTGTGTGTGTGAAAGAGGGTGCCATGTTTCCCGAGCTGGTCTCGAACTTCTGAGCTCAAGCAATCTGCCTGTCTCAGCCTCCCAAAGTGCTGGGATTACAGGCATGAGCCACCGCTCCCAGCCAACAGATAATGTATTTTTATAGGATATGTATGTCAAGACTCAAACTGAAATTATTAAATGTTTATTAGTCAGCATCAGTTGGGATCAAAATTTCCATAATAGTAAAAGTGAATTTTTATCTAGAATGAGTCTGGTAATGTTTTTTTCTAGAATTTAACGGAAGAGCATTTACTTGGAGGCAACAGTGTTCTATTGATTTTAAAACTTTACTATGTTTATATTTTGTTCTTTTTTCCAAAGCATTTTTCTTCTTTACCTATTTTTTCACTTTTTAATAGATATTAATATATGTAAACCTCTAGCTTGCAACGTGCTGAATAGATGAGCATTTAAACTGCAGTATTGGGGAACATTGTAATTTATTCTTATAGGATGAATTAATGTGATTTCTTTTTGTGATAACATTAATGTTCCCAAATAGCCCACATACTTTTCTGTGATATCTGAAATATGAATGAGAAATAAGATTTAAAACTCATGATTCTTTTATGTATTTTATCAACTTTTACAGAGAGGTGAAGATTCCTGTTTAAGGAAGAAAGATTTTGGGATACTTTAGATTGATTTGTGGAAAAACTCATTTTAATTTTAAAGTAGTAATTCTGTTTAAATTATACTTATATTTAATTAATACTTTATTTTTATAGTGGTTAAAAGTTCACCTCTGTTGTAATTCTCTATGCCAAAGAATCATACACTACTATTACCTTCTTTGGTTAACTCTAAAAGAAGTTCAGTCTGTTAACTAAATCCAACAGTGATTCAGGGGTAGAACTTGCTGGAAATTTAGGTGAGACTAGGGAGCAAAGGTTTAGAGTTTAGGAATTAGATATGATTTCATTCTGTGAGCATATCCAAAAGAATAATAGAAGCAAATAAATTTCTGTAATTGACGTGTTGGCCAGCTGGACATAAATTTACTCATTGTATTTATGTGTAGGTCATGTTAAATGTTAATGTATCACATTGAATTGATTTCATCCATGTCAGATCAAGTAAATACGCCTTTCCCAAAATCATTTCTTGGAAACCATTTAAAATTACAAAGCTGGGCATGGTAGTTCATGCCTGTAATTCTCACAGTTTGGGAGACCATAGTGGAGGATTGCTTGAGACCAGGAGTTCAAGACCAGCCTGGGAAACATAGTGAGACCCTCATCTCTGCAAAAATATATACATATATATTAGTCCAGTGTGGTAGTGTGCATCTGTAGTCTAGCCGCTGCGGAGGCTGGAACAGGAAGATTGCTTGAGCCCAGGAGTTCAAGGATGCAGTAAGCTATGATCATGGTCACTGCACTCTAGCCTGAGGGGACAGAGTGAGACCCTGTCTCAAAAGAAAAATTACAGATTTTCTCTTTGTAATTAATATGGTACTGATTTTTAACATTTATTCCTTTTTAATGCACACACAAAAATTTATTTTTGGTAACTACAGAGTGTAAGGTATTAGCTGAAGACTTTGGGAGATATTTAAGAGGTCTTTCCTCTTATTTCCACCAAGTGATTTTTTTTTTCCTTTGGTTTATTCTTTGATCTAACAAGTTTGGTTTTACTAAACAATTTTTGTTGCCTTCATTATGTTATTTCAGCACTTAGCGTTAGTCATGGGTTTTTTCTGTGTGTTTATTGAATACATGAATGATCCACCCTTTTACTTTAGAGAAAGAATACAATGTATAAATGCAACTTAGCAAGTTTCTTTATTTTCTTTAGCCTTGGAGGGGGTACCTTTCTGGGTTTATGCAGTTTATTGACTGGCTGTGAAAGTTTTGAAGAGGCTCTTGAAATGGCATCCAAAGGTGATAGCACACAAGCTGACAAGCTGGTCCGTGATATTTATGGAGGAGATTACGAAAGATTTGGTTTGCCAGGTTGGGCTGTAGCATCTAGGTAAGTTTAACATTTGTGTTATTTAAGTTACGGAACTTAAGTAATTCAAGTTGCTTACGTTTTTGGAAAGCAGTATAACAGAAAGTTGTAAGGGTGCTTTCTCTTACCCATTTTAGGTTCCAAGTTTTGAACATAGATGTCATTTAAAAATTAAGTATACATTAAGAAGTCTACCCTGAGTGCACCTTGTAGGAAACTTTTCTTTTTTAATTTTTGAGTGTCCTTCCAGTGTTTCTCGATGCACATACCAATACATATTCTTACTTTTCTCCCCATATACAAAAGGTAATTTACCATTATATGGCATAGTATATATACTCTAAAGTATCCATATAGCCTAGAAATCTTTACGTGTTGTTGTCCTTATGTTATACATGTGTAGGATAAATTCCCAAAAGTTGGATTGCAAATGCATTTTTGAGATACTGTTAACTATGCAAAGGAGCAGTACTGTTTTTCAGTCTCACTAGCAGTAAATGAAAGTGCCTGTTTCACCAGTAGAGTGCTGACTTTTGCATTTCTCCATCTGGTGGAGAAATGGTATCTTAATGTTATTTCATTTCATTTTATTTTATTTTATTTTAGGCAGAGTTTCACTCTTGTCACCCAGGCTGGAGTGCAATGGCACCATCTTGGCACACTGCAACCTCTGCCTCCCAGGTTCAAGTGATTCTCCTGCCTCAGCCTCCCGAAGTAGCTGGGATTACAGGCGCCCGCCCCCACGCCCAGCTAATTTTTTTGTATTTTTAGTTGAGACGGGGTTTCACCATGTTGGCCAGGCTGGTCTTGAACTCCTGACCTCAGGTGATCCGCCCGCCTCGGCCTTCCAAAGTGCTGGGATTACAGGCCTGAGCCACTGTGCCTGGCCCTTAATGTACTTTCAATTTACATTTCTCCTACCAACACTGGGGTTAAGAGCCTTGCATATTTTATTTTCTGTGAGTTGTTCATGTTCTACTTTTCTGCTCGATTGTTATACAGTTGAATTTATCAGTCTTTTCTTTTATGGCTTCTGGATATTGATTCATAGTAAGTAAGTCTTCTACATTCCAAATACATAAAGGAATAAACCCTTGTTTTCTTGTAATATGTTAATGGTGGTATTTTTATACTTAAATCTTTGATTTACTTACAGTTTATCTTAGGGTATTTTGTAAGTTACAGATCATGCTTTCATATTTCAGGGTTTTTTTTTTTTTTTTTTTTCCAGAAGGCCCTAATGTCTAATAATCCATCTTTATTTCACTGATTTGAGATGGCTTTTTTACATATGCTGGCTTTTCATTCTGTTGATGTACCAGCATTATACTTTCAGCTTTATAGAGGCATAAAAAGTATGTTTTAATCTCTAGAAGGGCTAGTTTCACTTCTTTGCTTGATATTCTGTATGAACTTGGCAAGCATTTTCTCTGTTACAAAAAGTTTTTTTGGAATCTCAGTAAGTTTATATATTAACTTGGACAGATGATATCTTTATAGTAAGTCTTGCTGTTGAAGAACTTAGCTTATCTGTTTAAGGCTACTTTTGTGCCTTTCACACATTTAAAAAGGCCTCTCCAAATATGTCCATACATAGCTTTTTAAATTGATTCCTAAATATTTTAAATTTACTGTTCTGTTATTTATCAGTCTTGTCTCTCATTATGCTTCCTACCCGTTGTTGCTTGTGCGCCCCAAATTCTTTGTCAGGGAATCCAGTGTCCTTTGATAGTGGACTTTGTCTCACTCTTCAATAATATATCTTGCCTCTCCCTCACATAGACGCTTCACTCTGACCAAATATCTTGTGATTTCATAGATGTTTTCATTTCTCATTTCTGTGTGCCTTTAACCTTTAGTTGCCTCTGCCTAAGATTTTCCTTCTCTTTTTCTCTGGCTTTTTCTGGTCCCTTTGCTTTGAAAAGCCCTGCCTCATACCTTCTTAACTTTTTTCTCTTACCACTTAATAAAAGATACTTTTTTCTTTGTATTTCCGAGGTTAGCCTTTGTTTGTTGTTTTTCCTGTTACTGTTAGCGCTTCTCTTGCTGTCTTTTGTATCTAGGCCTGCATTGTCCATTATGCTAGCCTCTAGTCACATCAGGCACTTGGCATTTGAGTGCCACATGTTGAAATGACGATATTTGGATATATTGGCTTAAATGAAATGTACAATTAAAATTAATTTCACGTTTATTTTTACCTTTTTAATGTGGCTAATAGAACATATATGAAATTATATATTACTCGTATTTTATTTCTATTGGACAGTGCTGCACTAGACTAATTCTCTGTTTGAGGGACTATCTGTGTCTCCAGCACAAAGCTTGGTATGTCATAAATGTTTCTTGTGACTGAATGGAAAAGAATTTGAAGTTAAAGCTGAGATACTTTTGGAAACATTTTGTAATTTCAACTTTGTTAATTTGTTTTGAATCAGGTTTAAAAATGAAGATATTTTGGTAATCTTTGCTTTCTTACAATAACTATGCTTTTTTTTGAGATGTCATTTTAACCTTAATTCTTTGAAAGGTATTACTTTACTCTTGCATAGATTTTTTTGTTAGGTTGTTTTGATCTTATCCCTATGTGTTTCTACTTTTTGGTCCTAATTTTATAAAAAATATCCAAGTTATAGATATATCTGTTAATATGTAAAATGTTGCTTGTTTTCAGCAGATTTGACTTTATTTTTCATTTTTCTGCAGTTTTGGGAATATGATTTATAAGGAGAAGCGAGAATCTGTTAGTAAAGAAGATCTGGCAAGAGCTACTTTAGTTACTATCACCAATAACATTGGTTCTGTGGCACGAATGTGTGCTGTTAATGAGGTAAAAAAAAAAAAAAAAAAAACTGCAAAACTCAAATTATCAAAAATGTGAATTGGAGTCCTATATACACCTAGCAGGGCTTCTTCACTTTCCCTAAGGAGGCCTCTGGGATTAAGATGTAGCCCATTAAACGCCAAGACTCATTAGGTATATATGTTATGTACCCAATTGCTATATTACCTTTAAAGAAAGTAGCAGATAATTCAAATTGAAATAGGAGAAATTTATTCAGAATTTTTTTTCAGAAAAACACAACCTAAATCCCTTGAGGATGTAAAAGAAAATTCTAAGCATAAGATATTTTGAGGTAACTATTTTGTGAAAGCATTTTTTTTTAGTCTTACTGTTGCATTTGGAAGGCAGCTATGCTCACCACTATACCACCAGTGCTTAATGTTGCATTTGATTAGTGAAATTCTTGGAAGTTTTCTTACTGCCCTCGGCTTCTTTACAGTGCTGCCTTGTTGCATATGGATCAAGCAGCATTGTACAGGGCTATGAAGGCATTGAGACCTGTTCTTCATGATATTTGAGTGGTGTTTATTGTTCCAAGAAAAATGTGAAAAGCATATACTGTTAGATTGACCATATAGTTGGGATTCTTTGTTTGGAAGAGAATATATATATTTAATTCTAGCTTCCTTATATAATAATAGATATATTTGCCCATTTAATTTTTATAAATATCAAATACTTTAAATGGATTGGGAAATATGCTTTTTGAAGGAACCCTTCATTTGTTCATTCATTCATTCATTTATTCATTGAGTAAATATTTATTGATTACCAGATGCCAGACATTGTTCTGGGTATTTGGAATATATTAACAAAGAAAACAAAAATCTGGCTTTGTGGAGCTTGCATTCATTCTAGTGACATATTAAGTAAATTGTTTAGTGTGTATTAGGTGATGAATGCTATTTTTTAAAAAGGAGACCATCAAACAGGATAAAGAGGATTGGGAATAGGGCAGAGAGTGGTAGAGGACAAATTGCCAAGTAATTGAGTGGTTAAAGGAAAGTTTTCTTGAAAATGTGATTCTTAGGCAGAGATTTGAAGGAGGTGAGGGGGAAACTGTACACGTAGACATTTTGGGGAGAAAGCTTCCAGCAGAGAGAACAACTATGCAAATCCTCTGAATTATTCTATATTTAAATCCAGAACTTGATCTCATCAGTTTTTTAATAACTTAAGAAACTTAAGTGTTAGTTGGTTGATGGAGTTACTAGTAGGCCATGTTGGGAGCTGACAACAATTTGAAACCTTTATTCTTAGCCCTTTATGTCTAAATTTCCACTGACCAATTGAGTTAACAATGATTTAGGCCATAGTTTATAGTACCCCAACTTATGTACAAAGATTTCTACTCAAAAGTCAGTATATTGTGAGAGTCGAAATAAGTTTTCTGGTGATTCAAACACCAGTTCCCCTAAGATTTCCTAATAGAGATATCTAAGAAACCAAATTAGTGTGGAATCTTTGCAGAGAGAGAATGATTTGATTAATCAGGCAGGGGATGGAGAAAGAATGCTAGAATCCTAGAGGAATGCACGTGCCAGTGCCCCAGTCAGTATTACTCTCCAATTCTATAGAATCCACAGTTGCATGTCATTGTTCAACATGCATTGCAATATATGGGCCAAGTTTGCTACTTATTCTAAATGCATTTTATAGTACTTACCATGTTTTGATTTTTTTTTTAAATCACATCAATAATGTGCAATATATGGGACAAATTTGCTACTTATCATAAATGCATTTCATAGTACTTACCATGTTTTGATTTTTTTTTTTTTTTAAATCACATCAATAATATGTCTCCAAATGACTTTGTAAGGGGGCTATTTATTGTCCATTTTCAAAAACAAGTCTTACCTGAAATCATCTGCTAGGAGTCTTTCTAGAACCTTTTTTTAAAAGTAGACTTTATTTTTTAGATCAGTGTTAGTTTCACGTAAAATTAGGTGGAAAGCTCAGTGAGTTCCCATATACCACCTTCCATATATATACACACAGCCCTCCATCCTCAACATCCCACAGTAGAGTGATCATGTGTTATAGTCAATCACCCTGTGCACACATCATCATCACCCAAAGTCCATAGTTTAGGGTTCTCTCTTGGTATTATACGTTTTGTGGATTTTGGATGATGTGTGCAGAACTAATTTTTAAATACTCAGGATTATAGAGCTATATGCCAGGAATGTAGTAGGTATTATACTGATAAAGGGTAGTTGTTGTTTACATCTTTAAATAAATATTTTGAAACCTTTTATATTGTAAAATGTGTTAATTATTTTTACAAGTTTTTTCTTTGTTCTTTTCTTTTAGAAAATAAACAGAGTTGTCTTTGTTGGAAACTTTTTACGTGTCAATACCCTCTCAATGAAACTTCTGGCGTATGCACTGGATTATTGGTCAAAAGGTCAACTAAAAGCATTGTTTCTAGAACATGAGGTATGGTAGGAAAATGTTTTTTGTGAATTTTAATAGCATGTTTTTTAAGAGACAGGGTCTTGCTCTGTCACTTAGGCTTGAGTTCAGTGGCACGATGATGGCTTACTGCAGCCTCTTCCTCCTAGGCTCAGCAATCCTCCCACCTCAGCCTCCCAAGTAGCTGGGACCACAGGCATGCACCAGTATGCCCAGCTAATTTATTTTTATTAATATTTTTTGTAGAGACAGAATCTGTCTTTGTTGCCCAGGCTGGTCTGGAACTCCTGGCCTCAAGCAATCCTTTGGAGGTGTGAGCCACCGTGCCCAGCCTTAGGTAGAATATTGGTTCCTTCAGTTCAGTTTCAGTTGTGGGGAAGAGAATTATAATAACCTGCTAAGCACCCCCAAATTTTTTAGTATTCATTTACTACATGCAGTTAAATTCTGATCTGAGCAATTATCAGTCCACATAATGTTTTGGATTAACTTAACTTGGATCATTTTGTGATCAAAGTCAAATGGCTGTATCATTACAAATTAGTAACACAGATTCAAATTATTCTGCTCTTAAAAGCTTCCCTGTCTCATTGTCACTGCTCACACAATACAAATCAGAATGGTGTGCCCTTGTGCAGTTCCACATGGCGTGCCGTGTGAGTGTCAGGCACAGCCAGAGGAAGTTAGTTTGTTTATTAAGTAAAGGGGAGAGGGTGCAGAATTGCTATTACAGTCCTGGAAGCTTTAGTGTCTAAAGGCCACACTTTTAGAATACATATTTCAGTGTGAGCCTATAGTCCCAGCTAAAGAGGCTGAGATGGGAGGACCACTTGAGCCCAGGAATTCAAGGCCAGCCTGTGCAAAATAGTGAGACCATGTCTCTAAAAATAATAATAATAAATAAAAATACATATTTCAAAGCTGTGTAGATATCAAGAATACAGATTCAGAGGATTTTTTATAATAGCTAACAACGCAGAAATTGGTAGGTTTCCAAATATTACTAAACAGATAGATTGTGCATAGTTGTGTGTTCTCAAGTGATTAATATTATATGCTAATTTAAAAGCTGCACTACATAACAGTTATTTTTAAATTATACAGGGATACTTTGGAGCAGTTGGTGCACTTCTTGGGCTGCCAAATTTCAGCTAAAGCATCAGGTCTCTCTCTCTGCTAATAAATGTCGTCCAAGAGGAACTAAAACCAGAGGCATTATTACTGCATTGTTTGTCACTGGGAACCAAAGGATAGAAGAGTAGCATAAGCTGCTGAATGTTGCCATATTAAAGGAGAGAACTTGGTAACGTGAAGTATTTCTCATTGAAATGCTTTCCCTTTTGTATATAGCCAGTGTTAAATCCTTAAATGCAATACAGCCTCTGATTATTGAGCTTCCTCTTAAAAAGATTTTTAAATTTTATGTAGCCAACATTGCAGTACTGTATGCTCAAACACAAATCTTAAAGTCTCGGAAATGTTTAGCTTATGAAAATAATCGACTCTGAATATTTGTTACAAGTCTGTTTTATGTTTTGATTACTAGTGAGCAGAAAATAACATACCCTGTATCCAAAATTATTGAAATGGCAATCAAAGATGATCATTTTTATGTGATTTTAGAAATGTTAAGGCAATACTACTAATTATTGTAGGTTTTTTTTTTTTTTAACATATCACCCAAAGCATGTATGTGATCTTTCCCCATAAGTATCTTTTCTCAAATGCCATAATTAACTGAAATACTATTATTAAATTTTCATGAGAATTCTGAAATGAATCCTGGGAAATGCACATTTGGTCATGTTGCACTTTCTGTATTTTACAGGAATTAGTCAGTACACGTTGAAATGTTTAACATTTTAAGATTGGATGCTTAATTACTGGGAGTCGGTCTAATGAAGTCCTGGGACTATTGTAATGGAATATGATTTGAGTTCACTGTGCTCTTTTTTGTTTGTCTGTTTTGATCATATGTACATTAGGAGCTTTTATTTTAAAACAACCACAGTGACATTAATAATAGAAAAATCATATGGAAATATTCACAGTCTAGTCACTGAAAAATGGGAAAACCTCTACCATGCCTTATTATCACCCTTCGCCGTTTGAGGAGCCAGAAATAGAGGTGCGGTTAGAGAAAGGTCACCTTTTCCAACAAAACTCACTCCATAGCCATGTGGATTTTTATCCAAAGGCTCAACCACCAGAGGGAATGGTGAGAACTGATAACTAAAATCCTGTTACTGGCAAGGGTTTGAAATGTGTAAGAACCTAGGAGGGAAAGGAAGATTGAGCAACATAGGTAAAGGGGAAGAGAGGCTGTCACCAAGGTCCAATCTCCATTTATAAAAATAGTGCAAAACCAGGAGTTGATTATAGAAGCGCCCATGATCCATGGCAGGAATAAATCCCTTCACCTCCTCTAACTCTATGAAAACTCTAGAGTTGGAGCAAGTCTTCCATTTGCTTCTTATCCCCTTAAAATAATGCCTTCCACTCCCCCACAGCCCCCATCAAAGGAACCCCCACAAGAGGCCACCATGCTCTGATCTCACTCTTTCCTATTCCGCTTGCCTGAATCTGGAGTGGGGTTGAGCCCTCTGCCCTCATCCTTAAGATTTAGGAAGTTCTTTCCCCAGCTGTCTAACTTGGAAAGGTAGATGAGTCTGAATTTTGAAGTTCCGAATGCAAATTCCACTCAGCAGACGCAGTGTTACTTATGTACATAGGAATAGTGGGATGAGTTTTAATAGATTCTATCCAAAAGGGTTTTTTCCCTCTTACTTCCTCTATGTGGGAAGATGTGTCTTGGGCAACTTTATCAGTATCAATGGAAAAATGATAGGCACTACAGTGAAATGGCAGGATGCCAATATGAGATCTTTCAGGAATAATAAGAAATACAGTTTGTTTGTATAAAATAAACTAGCTCAAATAAGAAAGTTTTTCAAGGACACTGATAGTGTTCATTTGTAAGAGGTAGTTCTAGAACCACACTGTCCAGTACAGCAGCTACTACCCATATGTAGCTGTTGAGCATTTGAAATGTGGTTAGTCTGAATTGAAATGTGCTCTTAAGTGTAAAATATACACTGATTTTTGAAGACTAGGGACAATAAAAGGTTAAATATCTCCTAATTTTTTGTATTGATTACATGTTGAAATGTTAACATTGGAAATGTTGGGTTAAAGAAAAATATACAATTAAAATGAATCTTAGCTGGGCGTGGTGGCTCACACCTGTAATCCCAGCACTTTGAGAGGCCAAGATGGGTGGGTCACCTGAGGTCAGGAGTTCGAGACCAGCCTGGCCAGCATGGCAAAACCCTGTTTCTACTAAAAATACAAAAATTAGCCAGGTGTGGTGGTGTACACCTGTAGTCCCAGCTACTCGGAAGGCTGAGGCAGAAGAATCACTTGAACCCAGGAGGCGGAGGCTGCAGTGAGCTGAGATTGTGCCACTGCACTCCAGTCTGGGCAACAGAGTGAGATTCTTATCTCAAAAAAAAAAAAAAAGAGGCCGGGCGCGGTGGCTCAAGCCTGTAATCCCAGCACTTTGGGAGGCCGAGACGGGCGGATCACGAGGTCAGGAGATCGAGACCATCCTGGCCGACACGGTGAAACCCCGTCTCTACTAAAAAAAATACAGAAAACTAGCCCGGCGAGGTGGCGGGCGCCTGTAGTCCCAGCTACTCGGGAGGCTGAGGCAGGAGAATGGCGGGAACCCGGGAGGCAGAGCTTGCAGTGAGCTGAGATCCGGCCACTGCACTCCAGCCTGGGCGGCAGAGCGAGACTCCGTCTCAAAAAAAAAAAAAAAAAAAAAAAAGAATCGTCTGTTTCCAGTTTTTTTTAATGTGCTTACTAGAAAAGATAAAATCACACATGGTTCACGTTTTATTTCTACTAAGACAGCACCGTTAAGAACATAGAGCTTTGAGGCATTGTGGTATTAGAACCAAATCTATTTACCACAGTAAGCTTACAGGGAGTTACTTGAGATCTTAATAAAAAATTATAATCTTTGTCAGCCTTCATTATGATTTTGTGTTCTTATTATTCCAGTAATTCTAAACTACATATGGGAAAAGCTAAGAGCCACAGTGGTGAGATGGTTGCTCACTTTACGTGCACTTTAGCAGGTAATTTCAGTTTGAAAGGACAAAATATATGAATCATAGTTCCACATTAACCAAAGTACAGTGATGAAATAACTTAGACTCTGACCATTCTATTTTTCCTTCAAGATTGCCCTAAATCTATAGATGCTAATACAGTATTTGCCACAGGTATAAAACTTGTAGTTACTATCATTCAATTAAGATTCTTACCTGTACAGATACACAAATCAGAAACTTTTAAAATAAATTGAACTAATGGAATTTTGGCTCAAATATTTAGTCACTACAATGGAAGCATTAAAGCAAAGAATACGAAGTCATTGTAGGGTTTTAAAATGGCTACTGACTGACATGAATTCAAAGTTTCAGTCTAAATTCTAAAAACTTACCTTTACATGCTTTTCCTCCTAAATAACCACTCTTATAATTCATACATTCATGTCTTTAGGTGAAGAAAACTGAATTTTAAACACTTGAGGCTGGGTGCAGTGGCTCATGCCTATAATCAAATGTAAGAACTTGAGTGTAAAATTCGAAAACTACATGGGGAAATGTCTTTATCATGCATCTCTGAGTCTACTGAAAACTCTGTTAAGTAAAACTGGTTTGTAAAAAAAAACAAACAAACAAACAAAAAAAAACCGTAGTGATACTTACCTTGTGTAATGTAAACAATTTTTTAAGCTCTTTAAACAAAGTACATCTAGATTTACTGGTAATGTATAGAAGTCAGTTTTATCCCCAAGTATCTCTGCTTCCTAAACCATTGATTAGCAAGAGACTCAAACAACTTCACTAAACTATTGGACCTCCAGTGTTAACTTGCCAACATAAAAATCTGAAAAACTTTGTAATCACTGTCAAAAATACAAAAGAGAGAATAAATTCCCAGGTAAAAGGATTTACAAATTTTGGAGCTATTACGCTTTTGTTTACTGAACATTGATCCTTGTAGTAATTCTGCAGTATTGCCTCAGACTCCCATAAAGTTTCAAAACAGCTCATCTATTAGATTCCTGTAACATTTATTTGGGATAAACGTGGTTTCGTTGCTGTTATTCATAATAGAATAAAATATTTAGCTTTGATGGTTCAGATGTAATAAAAAGAAATAACTAAGTTTGGGTCTGAGATAAATGTGGTAAGGCAAGAACGCAGAGATGCTGTAATGATGCATGAGTTTTAGAGCATTACTGAGGACCTGAAAACTTGCTGCCAAGGACGCTTTGAAGGTTTTGTTGACTGGAAGAAATGGCTCTGGAATCCCACTCCTAACTCTTTTCTTGAATATTTGAAAAGAATTAGATAAGGGCCATGGGGACCCAGGTCACCCCACCTCTTCTATTCAGTTTGGCTACAACATTGGAGTCATCAGTGCTCCTGAGACAATCATACAGGACTTTCTCAATTACACTTTGAAAGAGAGGTTAGAAGACTCTCCCTCTGAGGTGTTGCTCGTGCCCCCCTGGCCCTTGTCTGTGGCCATCTTCGCCAATGGTGATATGATTGACTTCTTTCTGTTGCACTCTTTGTCAACCACTTTGGCAGGTGCAATTCAATGCTTATCATCAATTTGTTGGCTATCAATGGTTGCCTTACGGGATTCTGCAACAAAGCTGAGTTGGTTGAAATGCTGATCCTGGGCCACTTGGTTACTGGCTTGTAATGTGGACTCTGCACAGGTTTTGTGCCCATGTACATTGGAGAGATCTTGCCTACTGCCTTTTGGGGTACCTTTAGTGCTCTCACCCAGCTGGGCATCATTGTTGGTATTCTGGAGATCCAGATCTTTGGTCTGGAGTTCATCTTGGGGTCTGAAGAGCTATGCCCAGTGATACTGGGCTTTACCATCCTTCCAGCTGTCCTATAAAGTGTAGCCCTTCCATTTTGCCCTGAAAGTCATAAGTTTTTGCTCATTAACAGAAAGCAAGAGTACTAATGAGATCCTTCGGCAATTGTAGGGGACTCAGGATGTGTCCCAGGACATCCAGGAGATAAGAGTGCTAGGATGGTACAAGAAAAGCAACACACTGGCGCTCTTTAGAATACCCAGCTACCAACAACCCACTGTCTTTTCCATCATGTTCCAGCTCTCTCAGTAGCTCTCTGGAATCAATGTTGTCTTCTGTTTCTCAATGAGAATCTTCAAGGATTTGCAGGTGTTGAGAAGCCAATCTAGAGATTAGTGCAGGAGTGGTTAGTATCTTCTTGACTGTAGTCTCTGTTTCTGGTTGAAAGGGCAGGAAGGACTTTACATATGATAGGTCTTGGAGGGATGGCGTTTTGTTCTGTCCTCATGATTGTTTGTTATTAAAGGATGAGTATGGTGGGATGAGCTTTGTAGTGGGGCTGTCTTGGTCTTTGTGGCCTTCTCTGGAGTTGGACCAGGCCCCATTCTCTGGTGTACTGTGGCCACACTCTTCAGTTTGCAATAGCAATGGCTGGTTGCTCCAACTGGACCTCCAATTTTCTAGTTGGATTGCTCTTCCTGAACAATTATTTAGTTTAAGTGTGTTGTTGCTTTAGGGTCATGGCATGCTTATGTATGTCTATTACCATCTGACCATGGTACTATGCCAGGTTCTCTTAGGAGACCTGAATCTTTCCAGTAGATCACATTTGAGATAGTATGAGTCCACTGGGCACAGTTCCCAACAGTCCAAACATACATACTTCACTGAAGCAGATCTAATGATTCCATTGACTTCATTTCTAAAATCGGACTTTGAGGGGCCAGTTTCCAAGGATTAAAAAGAAACTTTAATGCGTTGTAGACCTCTGTACCCAGAAAATCTTTGTAACTTTTGGGCTTAATTTTCCTTCTTAAAAAATCTGGTAACTTTTTCAAATGCAAGGAGCACTGTCAGTTTGCTGTGAGGCTAGGCAAAGAACACAAGATATAGAATCTCCCATCACCACCACCCTGCCCCTGCGAGAAGATTGCCTTTTAATTAGAGACTTTTAAAACTAGTGCTTTTTAAGTTCTACGCTCATCTTTTCCAAAGACTAAGTCTATTAGTAAACTTGCCATGTAATTTGACATGGCAGTTCCTTGCTCAACTACCCTAAATAAGTTGGAAATTAGGTGGTATCTTAGTTTGGGTAAAGTCAGTGCTATTGCCTGTAATACACTTGGTAATTGAAAGCCCTTCAAGTGGTTCAGATTATTTGCCAAATATTAGACTCTATAAAAACTTGAGATTTTTTTTTTTTTTAATACTTTGAGTGTACATGTGATTGCTATAATGTAAATACCAGTTCCTGAAAGATTGTTTCTGTAAGCAGAATGATGTAGCACAAAGTGAAAAGGTTTTCCTCTTATTCCAGCAGTATTCTTGCCTTCGAAGAGTAGTCCATTACATATTGCCTTGATTTTTAAGGTTGTGTTTTTGGATGAAAAGCTTAACTGGATAGTAATTTCCATATGTTCTTTATAACCACTCTGTATATTATAAGCAAAATTTTTTCATATTTCATTATATCTTTTTCTGTTGAGCACTTTATGCATTTTAGTCTATTGCATTTGAGAATGTAGTTTAGAAAATTGTTTCACTTTTTAAAGCCATGTGAAAACTGATAGAGGATAATGAAAATGAGTGTACATTATTTTGAATTTAACTTTTGTGGTGTGTGTAAACAAAACATTAGAAATATATTGTCTTTTTGTAATAATACTCTGACCTCACTTAAAGTGATCTGCCATGAAGTATCAATGATCAAGTTTATGTTTATTCTGATACCTAAGGAATTCAGCCAACTTTGTTTCAATCATCAGATAATCTCAGAAAATAATGTTTTACTTATATTACTGCCTCTTGTCAATATTTAAGAGAATAATTGTCTTCTGGTTTCTACTGAGCCTAGTAATAATCACTGAAGACCTAAAAAAGTGAGCAATTCTTTCCTTCTGTTAAGAGTATTTGGATAGCCCCTTCACGATAATGGTGGTGTGAAAATGAATCATCCCAGCTTTTCTGACATATCTAAATTTTGAATAGTTAATTTCCACTTCCAAACAGTCCAAATGTTTTCTTAAAGCAGTCACTACTATTTGCATTAGTCCTGTATATCCAGTGAATGTGAGGTCATACTTGGTATTGTATTAGAAGTAGTGTTGGTCACTGGTCTTGCCTCTTTGAACATTATTTGGTTTGTTATGATGGAAAATGAGTCAGTTTTCAGGGTCCTGAAAAAGTTGCTTCATTCATGGCCGTGTTTGGGATAACTAAATTAATTTTTTTTTCAGGTATTTGGTATCATGTTTTGGAGTTAATATTTAGTGGTTATATAATTTTAAGTTATTACATAATTTTTATTGTTATATGTTTTATAGGTACTAGGTATTGGATTCTCACCAAACCAGTAGAATGGCGTTCTCTCTTAATATGTCATTGCCTGTAATGGCCAGGTAGATATACCTTAAAGTAATATGAAAGGTTTTATATGTAAATTAAAATGTTTGTACTTTTAAATCTGTAAAGGTGATCTGGAATTTTTACTATGTTAACTTCAGAATTATATGGGCATTATGACTTTTTCATTGTACAAAAAATTATTCATAAATGTTGGAATACAGATGTTCCTTGACTTACGATAGGGTTATGTTCCAGTAGACCCATTGTAAATTGAAAATACTGTTAGTTGAAAATACATTTAATACGCCTAACGTACTGAATATCCCAGCTTAGCCTAGCCTACCTTAAATGTGTTCAGAACACTTAATGTTGCCCTGTAGCTGGGCAAAATCATCTAATACAAAACCTATTTTATAATGAAAGATTTAATATCTCAAATAAGAGTATTATACCACATATCGTTAGCCCAGGATAATATCAAAAGATGAAATTTGAAGTACAGTTTTTACTGAATATGTATTGCTTTTGCCCCATTATAAAGTTGAAAAACCATAAGTCAAACCATTGTTAAGTCGGACTGTTTGTGTTACATATATTTGGGATTTTTTAGTGACCCTTTTTAAAAAGCTGTTTCTTATTTCTGATCATTGTGAGTGGGGATAGATATGGGAAGAACCACGTCTCTACTAAAAATAAAAAAAATACCCCAGCTTGTTGGCACACACCTGTAGTCCCAGCTACTCGGGAGGCTCAGGCAGGAGAATCACTTGAATCGGGAGGCAGAGGGCAGATCATGCCACTGTACTCCAGCCTGGGCAACAGAGTAAGACTCTGTCTCAAACATGAATGAATGAATGAATGAATGAATGAATGAACTATTAGCTGATACTGGGATTTCAGGTACCACAGTTCCTGCTGAAAGATATGTTTGGGGTAAATCAATTTTTTTCCTTGTAGAATTTCAGTGTTTTTGCTGCAGCTGCCACTAATTTTGCGTTTAAAAGAACAAAAGAGGAATGTATTTTTCAAAGGAGTGAATGACGTTAAAATCAAGATTTTGAATGGTATAAATATGCAACTAATTCAATTGTAGGATATTATTAAATTTTGTATTTCTAAACATCTTTCTTTCATACATCGCAGTGCTTACAGTTCCAATAGCTTTCCAAGAAAACATTTCCATGTTTGCATAATTTGTAAAGTATATATAAATAATGTAAAATAATTTGGGATTATCTCAACTTTATATTGTATGTCTGAATTTCATCGATGTCATACCTGGCTCAGTCAATAGTCGTCACAGGTATTAAGCCATTTTGGAATTTGCCACCTTTTTCTGTGGAACCTGTTTTAGTTTAGTTTACAGCATTTAGAAATAGAAGGTAACTTTATAGAAGTAACACCAATATCCTAGTCTGCTTGTCCCGAATACAATTAATAGTATTAGGATGTAAGTGATATTAAGATGGTTTTTATTATTTTTTTGTACACTGTACTTTTACTTTTTATTTAAACTACAGCTAAAAGCTGACTTTTTAACTAAAATTGAATGGCATTTATCTTAATGACCAGTTATTGACCAAATCGTACTCAGAAGATGTTATTATGTCCCAGTCTAAGGAATCCTTTAATTTGGGGATTAATTTGACTTCCACATGCCATTTCAGTGTAAATTGCCTTATTCTGTCTATTCCATTATTCTTGTCAAGTCTAAGCTTTATCATGTCTGAATTCTTTTAACACTGAATCTGTGATGTAAAAATGTATGATGTGCTACAAATTTTATTCATAATAAACTAAGTTATAGCCTGTTGTAATCTGTAAAACATTTCTTATAAATTACCTAATTTATTTTTTCATTCATGTACAGTTTCTTATGTAAATTTGAAAAATGTTTGCCATGGCACATTCTGTAAACATTCCTGTATTCTTTTCCTTAATGCTTATTTGCATGAAGGTAACTTGGGTTTTGCTTGTTTGTGTTGGATAACTATTAAGCCAACTTCAGTATCTCTGCCTTTTTTCTTGTAGTTTAACCGTTTCTAATTTTGTTCATATTCTAAATAGATGTTAGAATCATACTTTTTATTTTCTACTTAATAAATTATCTAAGTTGTTTACTATGTGTCCCTTTATTATTTACCTTACATATTCCCACATTTTCACTTCGATTAAATGCACGGTTGTGGTTAATTCCGTGAGAGCAAGAACTTTGTAAAGTCTTGTTCACCTCTAGATTCCCAGTGGCAGAGAAGGCATTGATGAAATTTAAGACTTGCATTTATTAAGATGTGAAAACTTTCCCCCGCCGAGACCATGTTGTCCTGCATCAGAAAGGAATGTTGTTGGCTTTTTGGTTTTGGGTTGGTTGGTTGGTTTGTTTTTTGAGATAGTCTCTTTGTTGACTGAGCTGGTGTGTAGTGGTGCAGTCATAGCTCACTACAGCCTCAGCCTCCCAACTAACTGAGACTACAGGCATGCACCACCATGCCTGGCTAGGGTTTTGTTTGTTGGTTAGGTGTTTGTTTCGTTTTGTGTGTGGGGTGTGTGTGTGTGTGTGTGTGTGTGTGTGTGTAAATGGGGTTTCGCCATGTTGCCCAGGCTGTTCTCAAACTCCTGGGCTCAAGTGACCCACCACCTTGGCATCCCAAAGTGCTGGGATTTCAGGCTTTGTGGAGTATGTGAGATGTTTTGATACAGGCGTGCATGTGAAATAAGCACATCATGGAGAATGGGGTATCCGTCCGGCCTGTTAAGTTTGTTTAAAAAAATCATCTTAATACGTGAGGCAGTAAGTTGGAAACTTGACGGCTGTGTTTTCAAATTGTATGATTGTCATGGCTCCAGGCAAAGTTTTCAGATCATATGTCTTTTCTTGGAGTGTATAGGAATGGTTGAAAACATGAACATGACTACCATGTGACCTGTGAAGTACATACCCTTTATTTAAAAAAACTAGCAAGAACTAGGATGAGAAAAATCTAAGATCTGGACTAAAGGAGAACATGATGCAGTATGGATGAGATTTGAAATGTAGTTTAGCTACTCAAATGTAGAAGTACTGCTTCCACAAGCACTTAGAAATAAGCTCCTAAAGAGCAAACATTCAAGGCTACACACTTAAGTCTTTCATTTAAATAAACTTTCCAAGGAGGGAAAAGTCTGTACTGAAGTCAATACACAGTGCTATATAAATTTTAAAAGTGGCCAGGAGCAGTAGCTCACACTTACAATTCCAGCACTTTGGGGAACCGAGGCAGGTGGATCACTTGAGGCCAGGAATTTGAGACCAACCTGGCCAATGTGGCAAAACCTCATATTTACTAAAATTACAAAAGTTAGTTGGGTGTGGTGACGCACACCTGTAGTTCCAGCTACTCGGGAGGCTGAGGCATGAGAACTGCTTGAACCTGAGAGGTGGAGGTTGCAGTGAGCCAAGATCGCACCACTGCTCTCCAACCTGGGCGACAGAGCAAGACTCTGTCTCAAAAAAAAAAAAAAACTTTGAAAGCAGGATGTCTACTTTCTATGATATAGTCCTTAATGAGTGTGTTGTGTATTGAACAAACCTTATTATTTCTGCATCTAGAATCTATTGATCATTTTCTATGGCAATACTTTATAAGTTTCCATTTTAAGATACGCGTCTGGTTTCGGTGGGTGGAGAGGAGTTTAGGATTTGACTTTTTCCCTAAGTAAACCTGGAAAACCTGACTAGCTCCTGAAACTTTACATCCTTTTCATAGAAAATTGGTATTTTTGGATAGTTTTTAATGTTACCCAGAGGTTAGCAATATCCCAAAAGTGCAGTTGACCACATGTTTAGGTAAGTAAGTTTAAAGCCCAGCCAGGGCTTTAAACATAATCTTC